TCTGCCTCGTGTGTCTGCCCTTGGTAGATCCACTGCCTCCTGACGCAGCTCCTTTAATTCTGGTTGGTTGTCACATACCACATATTTCTCCTAACACAGGAGAATCCAGATGAGACCACTAGATTTCCGCCCCTCATCTGCCCTCCCCTCACCTGTCTGCCCCTCACCTGCCCACCCCTCACCTGCCCTCCCCTTACCTGTCCACTCCTCTCCATCTGAGTCCTAAGCAGAGAAGGCCCTGCTCACATGAGGACACTCCAAAGTTTGTTGCTGCTGCCCATGGTCAGATAGTTCCTGGGCACACCCAACACAGGATATTTAAAAAACAAAACAAAACAAAAACCCAAACTAAATAAAACCTCCACTAATGGAAGCTTCTCATCTTAATTGGTCTTCCTCAGAATATTGGTGAGAGTAAACATTTCTCATGTTTCCACTTCACTTTGCTTGGAGTATTTTCCTCTTTTGTGAATGGCTTGCTTTCCCATTTTGCTAAATTTTGTTGGGTGTCTTCTTATTTTCATTTTTGAGCTGCACAATCATAATTTTTTTTGAAGAGCTGTTTATATCTTAAGGATGCTGTATGTGAGTGGTGATAGAGTGGTGTGTTGGATGTGTGCTGGACAGACAGACCTGGTTTTGAATTTTAGTATTACCAAGTCCTAGTTGATTTGAACTTTGATAAACCTCAGTTGTTCTTCTATAAGATGGACTGAAATAATATTTATCTTATAAGCTAGTTTTGAGAACTGAATAAATTTGATAAATGCTTCTTCTAATTCTCTATTCCAAATGTATTTTCATTTTTTTTTGGACTTGTCCCAAAGTTTTAAATTTAAGGGTGATCAAACCAGCCTTTTCACTTACATTTGCTTTATTTAAATATCTATTTATCAATTCTAGTTATACAAATGAAAATATTTCGTTATGAGAGTTCCATAGATGCACATACTATACTTTGATAATGTTCATCCTTGGGTTGCCTTCTTTAAAAAAAGATTGATTTCTTTTTATTTTATGTGTATGAGTGTTTTGCCTGCATGCATGTATGTCCTTCATATGAGCGCACTGCTTGAGGAGGTCAGGGAAGGACATAGGATCCTGGAAAAACAGGTTATGAGACACCATGTAGAGGCTGCGAACTGACTTGAACCTGGGTCTTCTGTGAGAACAGCAAGTACTTTCAACTGCTGGGCAGTCTCTTCAGACTCAAAAATCCAAATTTCTGTTACTAATTAGCAACCAGAACTTTGTAAAAATCCTTGTCATATATGTTATAGGGTGTTCTAGCGTCATTTCTGTAGATGTGATAAAATATCCTGACAAGAAGCAACTTAGAAGAAAAACTTGATTTTATCTTAATTCCACCTTACAGTTGTGGGGGAGTCAAGGCATCAAGGTGGGGAAGTCAATATAGATATGTTACATATAGATAGGTTACATCACAGTTACAGTCAGGAACAGAGAGAAACAAACTCAGCCATGCTCACTTGCCTGTACTCAGCTTAATTTCTCCATTCTTACACACTTCAAGATTCACTGCATAAGGAATAGTGCTGCCCACAGTGGGCTGGGTCTTCCCACATCAATTAGTGTAAATAAGACACCACCCATAGACATGCAGACACCTTAACCTCACATAGGCAATCCTCATTGAGACTTCCCAGGTAATTCCAGGTTGTGTCAGGCTGACAAGTGAAGCTTACCATTATAATATACTGTTGCTGGGTTTCTGTTCTTTTTCTTCAGTTCTTTTTTGTTTGTTTTGTTTTCAAGACAGGGTTTCTCTGTGTAGCTCTGGCTGCCCTGGAACTCTTTCTGTAGACCAGGCTGGTCTTGAACTCAGAGATCTGCCTGTCTCTGCCTCCTGAGTGCTGGGATTAAAGGCGTGTGCCACCACTTCTTTGTTTATTCTTGATCCAGTACTGTTATAATAGTTACAGCCTCACAATGTTGTTGAGTTCTGATATCCATAAATTCTACTAATTTACATGGTCACTTCTTACATCATAGTCTTTCATTGCCCAATATGAACTCGATGAGTACTTTAAGTTGAAAAAAATCCCAATGATTGCTATTAACAATTTTACCACCATTTCAAAAACATACAGAAGAGCAGTAACTCTTTTTATAAAGCTCTGCACATTCCAAACTCAACAGTAACATTTTGCGATACTTCCTCTTGTACATATCCACTGTTTTGTTTTGTTTTGTTTTACTTCTGAAGAATTTTTAAGTAAACTCAATGCGTCATACATTTTCCCTTTACATATGACAGTATGGATCTCTAAGAAATAAGGACACTTTAGGCTGAGTGTGGCGATATGTACCTACAGGATGTACAGCTAGCAGGGTCCGGAGTACCAGATTAGCCTGGGCTACATAGCAAGACCCTGCATCAACTTTCAAAGAAAGGGAATAAGGACACTTTCCCACACAGTTTAATGTCATTGTCGTACCTAATCATCTGCCTCTACATTTGGTTTCTATTTCCCTTATTGTCCCCACTGACTTTGCGGGGCTGGAAAGATGGCTCAGTGGTTAGGGGCTCACCACTCTTGCAAAGGACCCAAGTTTGATCGCCAGAACCCATGTTGGGTGGCTCACAACCTGTTTTAACTCCAGATCTAGGGCATCTGACACCCTCTTCTGGATTTCATGGCTACCTGTACTCACATGCACATACTCATAGACAGACACACAGACATATAATTAAAAATAAATCTGTTTTTAAAAGTGAGTTTGTGCAGTTGTTGGAACCAAATCCACACAAGGGGTGCTTACTGTGTGGTTGCAACATCCCTAAAGTTATTCTGGAATAGACATTCTGGCTCATTTCTGCCCTTCTTCCCGTCATCCTCTTTGCTATCTCTGGTTGAGCAAACTGATGAGTGTCTAATCAGTGGCCCATATCCCTTCCTTGTGATGTCTTTTTAGCTCTGCCCTTCACATTTCCATGTACTAAATTAGCACTAGAAACTCAACAAGCTGAAAAGCACCCTGGCAGTTACTTTCCTGGGTGGTGGAGGATGTGTGCTTCCCATTTCATCACTTGAGGGGAAGTCCACACCCGACTCACCCATTGGTAATGTTGTTCTTACAGATTGATGTATTTTAGCTGGTAGCTTAAACCTCTCATTGTAAAGCCATGATCCCCAACACAGGGGCAAGTAGAGCATGGAATGATGAAATGGCATCCTGTAAACATTAGGAAGCTGTGGATGACCAGTGCCTGAGTCAACAACTTAATTAGGGGTGGCAGATTCCAAAGGATTTAGATTGTAGTTAAGTATAAATTACGTTGATCAAGATGGATATCTTTGTCTTGTGGACACTTGCTGTTTGGGGAAGAATAGGCATATATATGCATTGTATTCTATATATTCTATATATATAATTATATATATATATATAAATTTTTATATATTCTCTGGTACTTTCATACATGAACACAATATATTTAGATCATATCCCTCCCATTTCCCCAGATCTTCCTCTACATTCCAATTCACACCTTTCTCTCTGTCTCTCCGTCTCTCTCTCTCTCTAATAACCCAGTGAATCCAGATACTGAGCCCATTTGCTCTTGGGGGTCAGGCACCATCCGCTGGGACACAGGCAACCCACCATGGGCCACACCACTGAGGAAAACTGACCCTGGTTCCCCTAGTGGCCATCAACTGCCAATGCTCCTTAGCTAAAGGTGGGCCTCATGTGCCCCTTCCCTCTCCATGCCAGGGGACTGACTGGCCTGATTTGTTTAGGTCTTGGGCTGGTTACACCAGCTGCTGTGAATTCATGAGAACAGTGACCCTGTCATGTGTAGACGACATTATCTGTAGCAGTCTTCCAGGACCGCTGGCTCTTCCTTGATATTCCCTGAACCTTGGTGGTAGTAGTGGTGAGTATTGTGTGATACAGATAATCTCATTTAAGAATAAACAGGTCAAGACTCCATAGTCACTTTATTCTCTGCCCTTTGACCAGTTGTAAGGGCATATATTAAAAAACTCAGGGCTGGAGAGACGGCTCAGAGGTTAAAAGCACTGACTGTTCTTCCAGAGGTCCTGAGTTCAATTCCCAGCAACCACATGGTGGCTCACAACCATCTGTAATGAGATCTGGTGCCCTCTTCTGGCCTGTAGGCATACATGCTGTATACATAATAAATAAATCTTTAAAATAAAAAAATCGTATTATGGAAAATTTATCCTATTTATTCAGATTTTTAAAAATGTCATTTAATAAAGTTTTATAGTTTTTCCCCAGAAATTTTATGTATATTTCTAGAAGTGTTTATACACACACACACACACACACACACACACACACACACACACACACACACACGGTAATGTAGAACAGGGATTTATTTTATTTATTCTTCTCTCACATATATCCAGACTGCAGTTTCCCCTCCCTCCTCTCCTCCCAGCTCCCGTCCTCCCCTCCCCCATCCATCCTCCTCTGTTTCCCTTCAGAAAAGGGCAGGGATATCAACCAAACATGACATATCAAGTTGCAATAGGACTGTGCACCTCCTCTAGTTTTAAGGCTGGACAAGGCAACCCAGTAGGAGGAAAGGGTCCCAAAAGCCGGCAAAGGAATCAGAGACAGCCCCCGCTCCCACTGTTAGGAGTCTCACAAGGAGGCCAAGCTACACAATCATAACATATATGCAGAAGATCTAGGTCAGTCCCACGCAAGCTCCTTGATTGTTGATTCAGTCTCTGTGAGCCCCTGTGAGCACTGGTTAGTTGATTCTGTGGGCTCTTTTCGTGTGGTGTCCTTGACCTTCTGGCTCTTTCAATTCTTCCTCCCCCTCTTCCACAAATTTCTCTGATCCCCACCTAATGTTTGGCTGTGGGTCTCTGCATTCCTTCCCATCAACTATTGGGTAAAGCTTCTTGAACAGGGATTTTTTTTAAACTATTAAGTTGTTATTCTATTTGGGCCAGTGTAACAAATGACCATAGACTGAGTGGCTTATTAACGGCATTTATTTTTCAGAGTTCTGGAGGCTGGGAAGCCAAGGTCAGGGAGCCAGGAGATTCAGGGTCTGGAAAGGCCTGGTTTCTGGTCTTCGTACTTCTTGCTGTGTCCTTATATGGTGGAAGGGCAAGGCAGTTCTCTGAGGTCCTTTCTTTAGGAGGCTTCACACCCTCAGGGCTCAGGAGGTTTCACACCCTCAGGCCTCCAGCTATGAAGGTGGAAGAGAACACACAGAAAAGAACCTGCATGTGCTGGGGTCAGGATTGGTAGGTGGTCCCCTCTTTTGGCCAAGTTTCCCAGGGGTGCCCATTTCTCCCACCCTTTAAGACCTTCAGTGGGCTGGTGCTAAGGGACAGCAGCAGAGAAGGAAAGGATGGAGCATCACTTACGAGGACAGGGAGGAGGGAGAGCCAAAAGGCTGGACTTCCCTCTGCTCTGGGGACAGCCCTGCACACCTTCACCTTAGTTTCCTTCTTTGTACTAAGGAGAAGTTCAAGGCCACTGATCTCTGATCCCACAAGCTCACAGCCATCCCTCCCTGGGCCTCTCCTCCAAGAAAGTGCTCCTCCATGCTTTCAGGGGTAGGCAGAGGCAGGGGGAGGGGGAGGGCCATGCACAGGAGTGGGAGCTACTTACAGAGCTCTTCTGGCTTCACAGGCTGCACACATTTGTAGCCACAGTGCAGGTAACAGCACTTCTCCTGGCCTGCACAGTCCTCGTCACTCTTACAATGGGGTGGCTGTCTCCTGATGCAGCGTCCATTGTCCATTGGGCAAACTCCTTCTTTGTCTTATTGGTGGAGGAAGCCACAAGATAAGGGGAGGGCTTCAGGCCTGTGTCATCTGGGAGCTCCCATCCCAGCTCCACCCAGCTCACCATATCCACTCACCACCGTTGACTTCATCTCCAGCTACCAGAGCGGAGGAAAGGAGGAGAGCTGCGAGGACCAAGATGCTGTCTGGCCTCATGCTGTCGTGTGGCTGAGGCTGAGGCTGAGGCTGGAGCTCGGGCTGGGGCTGGGGCTGAGGCTGAGGCTGGAGCTGGAGCTGGAGCTGGGGCTGGCTTTAAGTTATGTCTGCTGGGGGTGGCAGTGGGCAGGGCTGAAAGTTTGCTAATAACAGGGAGGTCTGTGTTCCCCAAGCCCTATCAGAAATGGGACTTGGGGAACTTCCAAGGGCACGTCCATGTTGGCATAAGTAGTCTCTACTGACATCACGTTACCATCAAGATGACATTATCTTATGGGGAAGGAAGGAGGCCCAGAAAGGGAGCAAAGCCGCTCACTCACGGACACACAGCCTGGCAGTGGCAGGACCAAGTTTCTTCAACTCTGATGCTCACCCCTGAGCCCTGTTTCTACGTGTCCTTCCCTAGACATAGGTCTTCATTTCTTCCTGTCATGTCTGGACTGGTCCCCAGGTTTCTTCTCACCCCAGGGAAGGCTCTGGAACACCCAGTTTAAAACTGGCCTGCTGTGTGCTCCAAACCATGCCACCCTCACACGCCCCTGATGAGAGCAGACCCAGGCCTTGTCACCAGTTGTGTGACTGAAGGCATTTCCTTTCTAAACTCCTTTCCTTAGTCATAAAACGGGTGTCATAGTTTTATCTCACTCATAGCAATTATGTTTTCTTTCCTGAAATGTGCCCCCCCCATTCCCACCCCCCACCAAAAGCCCAATCAGCATCTCCATCTCTCCAGTCTTGGACTCTGAGTCTCCTCCCTTCAGAAATATGAATCCACTATGGACTCCCATATTGGGTGCTTTTGAGAAGGAAGCCCAAGGCAGAGCGGTGCTGTGCGTGTGATGCAGGACAACTTTTAAAGTCTTTTCTTTGAACTGGCTCTACAGGTATAAAAAAAATTTCCTGCACAAGCCCGGAAACTCAAGAGGATAAATACATAAAATGTTAAAAAGAAAAGATGGGAAATAGAGTGATTTGAGGAAATCCTGTCCTTCACCAGTGTTTTTCCCAAGGCCAGTTCTTTGATGCCGTACTCATGGTTAGGTTACCATGCCTCAAAATTACCTTTTTGCCTAAGCTGGTGTGAGTTAGTTTTCTGTAATTTGCTATATAAAGTAAAGAAAGGGAGGACTTTCCTCTATTCCAGAAAGAGCACCAGCTCCCTACTGGGCAGTGAGCCATGATTCCAGGCTCACTAATGTGTCCTATGTCCTAGGGCCAGAGTCTGGGGAGTTGGTGAGCGTGTGCATGGATGTTGGAGTATGCTGGCTATTTGTTAGAATTCCTAGTCACTCCCCCAGCTACATGACCCGCACATGCGCTAGCAAGATGCTTAGTCATCCCAGGGCCTCACGTCCCACGTAATCCGTGTGCTTCGTGATCACGTAATTTGCAAGCAGTGTGATCACGTAGTCTATGTGCATGTGTGGCGTAGCTACGTAAGCCCATATGTGCATGTGTAGGGGGAGGGGAAACCTATAAAAGAGGGTTCCACTTATCCCTCCCCCCTCTTCCTGCAAGTCACTCCCATAGGCCTATGCACATCCCTTCTGTTCCCTTCCCTTAATAAACTCTTATAGTAGGTTTTGTTGTACATCGTGACTTTTCTCACACAGTAAACAGCACCACTTAATGAATAACACTGTGCTGCTTAATAAACAACACCATTCCTCACCTCTATCACTTTATTACTAACTTTCAAAGAATGCAGAACATATTAAAAACAGAGCAGTGACACTCATACACCTGTATTGGACTGAACAATTAATAACAGGTTGGGGTATCCAGATCTAGAGTTGATGAAACATTTGGAACTGAGCTGCAGATGGTATATCCTCCATGCTGAACACTATATTACCATGCAAATTCTAATAATGAAAGTCTCTAACATATAAAATGATAATCATATCTTAGAAAACTGATAATAAATGCTACACGACAATAAAAGCAACATTTGCTTTCCTGTCACCAGAGTATACTTGTAGCTTATTTTTGAAGCGATTTCTTTAAAACAACAACTTTCCCATACAATAAGCTCTACAGGTGAAAGATTTTTACCCTTTGAGAACAGCAGCTTTGAAAAAAAAAGCTTTTCTTATTGTTTTTGTTTCTTTTAGATAGGGTTTCTCTACAAGTCTTGGCTGTCCTAGGAATTTGCTCTGTAGACCAGGCTGGCCTTGAACTCATAGAGATCTGCTGCTTCTGCCTCTCAAGTGCTGGGATTAAAGGTGTGTGCCTCCACACCCAGCAAGTTATAATAACTTAATAGAACATCAGAGAGCATAATAGACTAGAATTTGCCGGGTGGTGGTGACAGCAGCAGCGGCGGCGGTGCACGCCTTTAATCCCAGCACTGGGAGTCAGAGCCAGGCGGATCTCTGTGAGTTCGAGGCCAGCCTGGTCTACAGAGTGAGATCCAGGACAGGCACCAAAACTACACAGAAAACCCTGTCTCGAAAAACAAAAGGAGAAGAAGAAGAAGAAGAAGAAGAAGAAGAAGAAGAAGAAGAAGAAGAAGAAGAAGAAGAAGAAGAAGAAGAAGA